CAAAGAATGAATCCGAAAACCTCGCTGCTCGCTCCAGGAAGTATATAGTCCGGAATGCTGTTCTTCCAGTTTGTCCCTGGGATAGCATTGCAGGTAGGCCACACCCCTGGGGAAACTCCCCCTAGGCCGACCGGCCGCTTAGAACTCAGCCATGTGATCCATCATGGGAACCACCACTCACAACTGGAGTCCAGCCAAGTTGACACATCTTCAACTATCACACATGCATTTGTCTTTCAGAAATCCAGTTTGTCTACCTTTATCCCTACCTTTAATGTACATAAAATTAAACCTGCTTCAATTAACTACAGCATTAAAAACCCATGCTGTAAGCGCTATAAAGAGCATTTTAAAAATCAATTCTACCAATTGAACCCACTCATGTGATTTCCAGCCTAACAAAAGACAGGCATATGAGCTGAACATTTACATGACTTAAGATACACTCCTTGGAGAGATCAATCATGGGAGAATAGAAGGACTGTGTATGTACAGGGAGATAGCCCGGGGGGCAGGAGTGCATGGGAGGGAAGGACACAGGGGAGAGGTGGCTATAGGGAGGAAGTGGGAGGAGAGCTGTTGCATTGTGGGAAATTGCAGTCAATGTCATGAGACAAAATGTATGTGAACTGCTGTATGGAAGATGAATTTGCTCTGTAAGCTTTCACTCAAATCACAATTTAAAAAAAAATCAATTCCATCAAGTTTTGTTAGCTAGTATCTATCTAGTGTCCATTTTGTTCAAAAAGCCTCTTTAATGCTCTCTTAATTTTTATCCTACAATGTAATTTAGCAGGAATTTAGATGTCAACAAACTTGATAACTACAATCCTAGCTTCAAAACAGAAGGCAAGTAGAGAGAAATGACCATTTAATTAATGTGTAAAATTAGCAGGAGATGGGGGCTCTCCCCATAAACACCTTTAACTATAGGAGAGAGTCCTTCAAGTCCTGACTGCAGGTATAACTGAGCTGATGACTGATGACTGCTTTCCCTCTCCCTGTAGGAGGCTGTTTCCTGGGCACTTCATTGCTTCTTAGACAAATTGTCTGAAGGTATACAGAGAGGGGAAATTCAGGTTATCCATTTTTATTGCTTATCTCTGGTAGCATAGTGGCTAAGACACTTGCCTGCTAACCAGACGGCTGGCGGTTCAAACCCACCAGCCACTCCTCGGAAGGAAGGTTGGGCAATCCTA